TGAAACTGTTCTCAAATTATATTTCTGTTTCACTTATTGGGCTCAAGTCACATGTGACCCTTCCCACTGATGGAAAATATATAACTCTCCCTATTGTCCTGCTCTTATCACTTTTGAAAATATTATTCAAGCAGAAAACGTTGGATTAGAAAACAAACATCATGTGGGAATGAAGCTAGAGTAGTGACACACAGTGGTAATCCCACAAATTGGCAGGTGAAGCCACAAAGGAGCCAAGCACCTTCGCCCAGCTCTCCATGACCTTAGCTGGTTCCAGTACCACTCTCTGGATGTGATTGGGTTCCTGCTGGCTTGTGTGACAGCTGTGATATTTATCATTACAAAATGCTGCCTCTTTTGTTGCCATAAGATCGCTGAAACTGGAAAGAAGAAAAAGGAGTAGTTGTGTTGAAGCCTTACCCCAAGAGTCCTGATAGATGGTCTTCTGTCAGCTTATTCAAGCAAGAAGAGATTGTGATTCTGGGTGCTTTTCCCTCTGAAACAAGACTTTTCACAACTTGCTAGCTGATTTTTTAGGGATTTATTACATGTTTAAGACCAATGGTCTACATGTTTGGTCTAAAGATACCAATTTACTTAATGCACTTGTTACTTAATTATTTAATTTAATTACTACAAAGGATCAGAAGAGACAGACAAAAGACTTTCTTCTGTGAGCAAAGCTCTGTGGTGTAAATGCCCAGCAGGCTCACTGCAGTGCCTTGATATGCTGAGCCCCACGAATGCCTCTGTACAACCTCTCCACTTCCTATTTCCCCCTGTCCATTTAGAGTCTATATTTGACATCACTCAAATTCTTTTTTATAGATTTATTTTTATTTATGTGTATGGGTGTTAAGTGCATCCATGCTGTGCAATGCACGTGGAAGTTAGAAGAGGGCGTCGGATCCCCTGGAACTGGAGTTACGGAGAGTTGTTAGCCACCACGTGTGGGTGCTGGGATTTGAATCTGGTCCTCTGTAAGAGAAGCCAGTGCTCTTAACTGCTAAAAGATCTCTCCAGCCTGTCATTCTCTTTTTAAAGTCTCATAGATAATGGCATTTAATGGTCAGACTTTTGAAGACAGATTAATTTTTCCATTTTTATTAGAGGCCATTATTTCTGTCACTATGCTGTATACCATCATCAGTATCTATTTTTCCTAAATGATCTATTATAAGGATTATCCTCCTATGAGCGAAGGCATTTCTCCACAGCATTAAAACAACTATTCGTACCTGTTTCTAATTATTTTCTCCTTGGGAGGCTTTCTGACTTGTCAAGCTAATTCCTTCACTCATTTGTCTTCCTAGTTCTTATTAAAGATTAACCTGGGCACTGTCATTCTCTTTTCAGAGCTTTGATATGGACCTAAATTGTCAATTGTTCCATTTTCCCTCCCCCAAAGTACATCTGCACACAGAGGGCCAGTTTTTTTACAAAGCAAGTCACATCACTTAGCTTCTGTTATATTCAAAATCTGAAATGTTTCCCCACAAGCTCACATTTTGATACATTGCTTCTCAGTTTGTGGTGATAAACTGGGAGACTGAGGAAGATTTGGAAGGAATGGCCTCACTAAGGGATATAAATCACTAGGTGTGGGTTCTTCTGGGCTTAATATGGCCTCTTCTCCATTTATTTTCATGGTTTTTCAAAAAATGAAACGTTCTCCACAGATTCATATTTTCTACTCCTGTACTCAAGCTATTGGCACTTTTTCGGATGTTGTAGAAC